GATAGAGAGAGAGGGAGATGGAGATAACGATATCTATATATACATAAACAAAACAACATAACAAGACATCTATTGTGTAAGATAGACCACGGACGCCCGCGTCGCCCACCCCTTGTTTCCCCAATGGCGGGGTACTACGTGTATATGCACGTAGATATGCATGCAGTTAAGGGCGAGGCGGGAAACAAAACAACATAACAAGACATCTATTGTGTAAGATAGACCACGGACGCCCGCGTCGCCCACCCCTTGTTTCCCCAATGGCGGGGTACTACGTATATATGCACGTAGATATGCATGCAGTTAAGGGCGAGGCGGGCTGGGTTTATATGAGAGTTCTCGGCGAGGTCGTCAGCCCCCTCAGCGCGTTGCCGCCGCAGCCGCAGCCGCAGCCAGGAGCGGGCCCGCCGGGCCCTGGCCCTGGCCCGCCAGGGGCCCCTGCTGCCCACGACCCGCCTTCCAGCGCCGGCGAGCTCAGTTCAGACAATGGCGAGGGCAGCGCGGGCGACGAAGACAACGTTGACCCTGGCGGTGGCGCAGGGGGAGCAGCGGCAGCGGCAGCGGCAGCAGAGGAGGAGGCAGGGGCGCCGGGCGCGGCGCCGGGAGGAGGCGCCGGAGGCCCGGGCGCAGCGGCAGCGGGGGCGCCGCCGCCGCCGCCGCCACCGCCGCCGCCCGCGGCGGCCGTGCCGCCGCCGCCAGGGGGGCGGCAGCCGCGTTCTGTCCCATGGCCACCAGGAAGCAATTCGACTCCATGGTCGATCGCGAAGGTATTGAGCAAAGGGGTTCACGTTGGGTTGGGGGCAAATTGCAACTGCCACGTGGATGTACTCCGCCCAGCTCAGGTGTGCAAGAAAGCTCTCATGATAGCTGAGAGCGAGGGCCAGCTGAGGATGATGGCATGGTTGTTGGCCGGGGTCGATGGCGTCCAAGACGACGACGCTTGTGCCAAGTCCACCCACCTCAGGATCAATCCTCGGACATTGCCTCTAGACACTGAGGCCGCCATGGTTGCTGCTGCGCTCGCCATTTACCCTTGAACAATAATGTGGCGCAGGCTACAGCGGCGCAGGCTACAGCCTTGAGCGACGAGGTTTAGCGGGGGGGGCAGGGCCGGGGCTGGTGCTTGATGAGTCCTGGAATCATCTGACACGTCCTTGCATTCGATCGAGAAGGCCCAAGACGTCGGCCAGCCCCCCCCCCTGGGCGAGCAGCTCTGTATCCCTTTTTTTTTTGAAAGCCAGCAGTGTTTGAGCGCATGCACACCGCGCGCGATGGCGAGTTTAAGTATACAGGATACATGGCATCGTGTACAGTAAGTGTAAGCGTAACCACATCATGCGAATAAGTGCGCAAGGCCGTATAGCGCATAGTGCATAGTGTAAATGCATAGCTTAATGATATCATGTGCAGTGTACGTATATATGCAGACATGTCGCCACTGCGCGGTGCGCGTTTGCGCATGCATGCATGGTCGCTTCGCTCGGAGGGCGATTGCACTGCGTGGTTGCTTGGCCAAGGGGACGTTTGCATGCGCATTCATGAGTGCAAGTGCATGGTCACACTTTCGGGGCAGCCGAGCCTCGGCGCACCTCCAACGGCCACCTGCCAGCCCTGGGCCTCGGCTGGCTCGGCCGGGGACGCGGGCTCGAGGCAGGCGACCTGGCCAGTTGCAGTGCGTCGCCAGCTTTGGGCCATGGGAAGTTCCGTGCGTTAGAGCGATTGGGCCAGCGGCGTGGCGCGAGGGCGCGCGACGTTCAGGCCAGGGTTTTCTGAACTGTATGCAAGGGCGCATGTGCGATGACCTTTGCTTGTTTACTTGCAAAACATTCTGTCGTTCGTGATTGACAGACGATCGCCGCGCAGTGCAGAGGGGCCCCTGATCATCCGATTGTTTCCGCCAGGCCAGGTCGGGCGAGTCGGGCGCTTGGGCGGCCTGGGCGGCCCATTGCGGATGTCGGTTCGTCGCGGCAAGTCCCTGGTTTGCGATCAGTGTTGCCGTTGTCAGAGAGTCTGTCGCACCGTTCAGGTCGTCTCGGACATCTGACGTCGGCCGCCCGGGCCACCTTGCGGCGCCTTGGCGTGGCAGTGCACGGCTCGCAGTGCCCCAGACAGCGCTTGCACCGACGTGGGTTTCATTTGCCATGGGCCATCGGCCATCGACGCCCCGAGTTGTCGCGTAGTTGCTGTAATTCGCGACGAGATTTCAAGCGGCGATGGCCGCCCCGCCGGGCCCCAAAGGGATCTTATGCAGGGGGGGCTCGAAGGCGCTGGGAGGGCCTCTCAGGGCCCAGGGCTTCGGCTGGGCCCAGGGCTCAGGTTGGTTGGTTGGTGGCCCTCGGCGGGTTGGCTGCCTGGCTGGTTGGTTGGCTGAGCACTGCGGGCGGGCTCGCATTCGGGAGGCAATCTCAGATGCCCCATTCAAAGATGCATGTCGGCACGCTCCGCCGCCTCGTGCTTGGTTGAATGGTTGGTTGATTGGATGTTGGCACAGACATTCCAGCGCATTGCAAAGCATTGCGTTTCATGTCTAGGTTTCAGGGGGGGAGGAGGATGAGGAGGTGTTTATCTCGCCCATGCTACGCCGCCCCGCCCTTCTCTGCCCTCCTCGCCCTGTCCTCATCATCATGCCCCGCCTCCGCGCCCAGCAGTTCGGGCTCGGGCTCAGTCGATCGGGCTCAGTCGCCGGAGCTCGGAGCTCGTCGCCTCACTGACCAGATGAAGAGGAGCATGGGCGACATAGGGGAGGACGAGGGCGACGGCGAGGCGGGCCTTCCAGCGGCCAAGGCTGCCCGGGGCAGGGCCGAGGCCAAGGGCGCGGCCAGGGAGGCCAAGGCGGCCAAGGCGGCCAAGGCCCGAGAGGCCGCGGAGGCCAAGGCTCGGGCCAAGGCTCGGGCCAAGGCTCAGGCCAAGGCTCAGGCCATGGCAGAGTCCAGGGCTAAGGCGGCCGCGTCGGCCGCGGCGGCGACGAAGTCCTTCTTCCAGGCGGCGGCGACAGCGGCGCCCGCCAAGGACTGGGGCTCTATATCCCCCCCCCACCTGCGCCCCTATTCACCCTCGCCGGGTAGGGGCAGGGCAATTGGCCCCGTTTTCATTGTTCGCAGAGATCCCGAAGGCGCCTTCCTGCTGCCCTTCTCCTCCCGTCTCTCCCCCCCTGCCCCTCCCCCCCTGCTCGTCCTTCTCCGCCTGTTCCTCGTCTGCTCCTTCGCCGTCTTCGCCCCCGCCCTTCTCCCGTCGGCGCCCAGGAGCGCGGGAACTGGCTCCTGGACGCCGACATTTTCTCACCGAACGCCTACGTTAGAAAAGCAATGGGCGAGTTCAAGGCTCGCCCACCTCCGCCCCCCCTCGCCTTGCTCCTGCTTTTTGTGTCCCCGGTCCCCACCCCCCCTTAGCGTCGGCGCCCAGGAGTCCCAGGAGCGCAGCGGCCAGCAGGGGGCGGCGCCAGCGCCAGCAGGGCCGGCAGAAGAGGGCGCCAGCAGGGCCCGCTTGCCCCCCGGCGGCTTTGAGGAGCTGCTCCTCTCCTCGGACCAGGAGGGGAAACCCGAGTCGGAGGAGAGCAATGTGGAGGAGGACGAGGAGGCAAATGACGAGGTCGCGGACTCCGCGCCCCCGTCGAGCGCCCTTGAGGCCGCGGCGTTGAGTCGAGGGCGCCCCTTTGCTGACATCGAGGGCGCGCCGGGGCCCGGGCCGCCGGGCAGCAAGCAGTGGGCGACCCCAGTCGCCCAGCAGGAGGCCCCCAGCACTAGAGATGACGCCCAGGCCGCTCAGCCCATTCCAGCAGAGGCCCCCAGGGATGACGCCCAGCTTATTCCAGCCAGAGATGACGGCCGCAACGCCAGCCCGATCCCACAGCGTCAGGCCGACCTCCAGGAGGCGGCGCCAACAGGGCCAGCACGGGAGGGCGCCAGCAGGGCCAGCGGAAGCTTGCCCCCAAGCGGCCATGCGGAGCACGAGGAGGGGAAACCCGAGTCTGAGGAGAGAGAGGAGGAGGACGACGTGGCAAAGGACGAGGTCGCGGACTCCGCGCCCGCGCCCCCGTCGAGCGCCCTTGAGGCCGCGGCGTTGAGTCGAGCTCGCTCCTCTGCCGACGTTGAGGGCGCGCTGGGCGCGCTGGGGCCGCCAGGCAGCAAGCTGGAGGCGACCTCAGTCACCTGGCAGGAGGCCCCCAGAGATGGCGACCAGCCCGTTCCAGCAGAGGCCCCCAGAGATGACGCCCAGCCCATTCCAGCCAGAGATGGCGGCCGCAGCGTGAACCCGAGCCCGCAGCATCAGGCCGACCTCCCCGGCGGCCAGCAGGAGGAGCCCACAGTCATGCAGCAGGACCAGGAGATGCGCCCAGCAGCACCAGCAGAGGCCCTCAAAGATGACGCCCGCCCCAGCCCAGCCAGAGACGACGGCTTCAGCGCGAGCCCGCAGCGTCAGGAGGCCTCAGCCCGAGCCCGCGGCGTCAGCCCGAGGGCTGCCAGCAAGGAGGCCGGCGCGGCGCCAGCGGGGGCTGCGGCCGCTGCGGTCGGGAGGGGGGCAGGGGGTCATTCGTGCCCGCAGGCCGTCCTGGGGTGATCGGAGCCGTCATGGGGTGATCCGGGGCCCCGATACCGACCAAACTTGGTCGGTATCGGCCAGTTTGGGGCCCTCGTGGGCCGTCTTGGGGGCCTCTCGAGCCGTCCTGGGGTGATCCGGGGCCCCGATACCGACCAAACTTGGTCGGTATCGGCCATTTTGGGGCCCTCGTGGGCCGTCTTGGGGGCCTCTCGAGCCGTCCTGGGGTGATCCGGGGCCCCGATACCGACCAAACTTGGTCGGTATCGGCCCCCTTGGAAGCGTCGTGGGTCGTCTTGGGGGCGCCTCGAGCCGTCCTGGGGTAATCTGGGGCCCCGATGCCGACCAAGTTTGGTCGGTATCGGCCCTCTTGGGCCCTCTCGTGTGCTGTCTTGGGGGGGGAGGTCGAGGATGGCGACCGCGAGATTGCCAGCGCGGAGCTCGTGGTCGTAGCGGAGTCAGTCCCCACTCGCGTGTTGAAGCAGCGCTTGTCGGCGGCGTCGAGCATGCTCGGCGACCTCTCGGACCAGGAGGCGGAGCCCGACGTTGAGGACGAGGGCGCGCTGATTGCCGTTGGAGAGGCAGCCCCCGCAAGAAACGTCGGGGGTTGGCGGGGGCCGCCAGCCCAGGAAAAGAGGGGCAGCAGCGGAGGGGGGGGGGGGAGGGGGAATGGGGGATGGAGGGGGCAGGGGCCTGACTGCGCCGCTCAGTTCATCGGCCTCCTGCGCCTTCCCCCCTCCGTCACTGCCTTTTCTAGCTCTATCCTTCCTATTTGTTTCCCTCTCGGCGGCCTGGCTCAGGACTATTCGGGATGGGGCCTTCTGGGGCGCGTAGCCGTGGATCTCTGATGTTGCCCCGCTTCCTCTTCGCGCCTTCGCTCCTCCTCGTGCGTTCTTCATTGCGCCGTTCGCACTTCGCGCGCTATTCGCACCTCGCAGCGCGCAGTGTATCATTTCAGAATTCAGGACCTCCGCCCAGAAGGGCCATGACAACATGGCAGGTAGACAGGTCGCTCGCATCGCGCATCGGGTTCGCTCCTTGAAGGTCCAAATGACGGGCGGTAATTTGGAAATTCGATCGTCGCCCATCGATCTTCATCTTCGTCATCGTTGTCGTCATTATCGTCATCGTTGTCGCCGTCATCTCTGTTTCGCCATCGTCCATCGATCGTCGATCGCCGTTGCCATCGTCGCCGGATCCGCCGACCCAAGTCCAGGATGCACGTGGGCGTCGGGAAGTTGCCCCAGGGGGGATCCTTATAGGGGTTCTTAAGGGGGCTTCGGGCATCTGCCTCTGGGGGGCCCTGGGAATCCGCCATGGAAATCTGTCGGGGGTTGCCCGGGGGGGGGAGGGGTAGGCAGGGGGAGGAGGAGAGGTGGAGGAGTTGGGACAGGAGCAGAATTTGCCTCGTCGGGAATCGCCCCGCGACACACGCAACCCCGCCGGAGGCGTGGCGCTGCGGGCAATGCTTGAAGGTCTACCCGAAGAACCATATGAGCTGCCGCGACTGCAGATGCATGCCCGACGGCACCCGCCTCGTGCAGGACTCGGGGGCGGGGGGCGATTCCTTTGCCGCTGTCCCGATCCCCCATTTCCCTTCCCCCCGCATCCCTCCCCCCTCCGCATTTGATGCATTAGTCCTTCTCTTCACGCCTATCCCTTTCCATCCCTCCTCTGCTCGCGCGGGGGATTCAGGGGGGAGTTGAGGAGAAATCAGGAGATGCCAAGGGGGGCTGGGCGGGCTCGAGACAGCGTCCGAGGAGGCGGCTGAGGAGGGCCCCGTTCCATGTTCCGACCTCCGCCTGCCCATCCTCCTCACCCCCCTTATTCCGTCGGTCCACGTCGGCCTCTCCTCGCCCTCCTCGTCGCCCTCGTCGTCGTCCCCGCGTCGCCTCCTGCCCCCTCCAACTCTCTGCTTCCCGCTTACCCCGCCCGTTTTGCCTCCCTCGGTGCGCTTGGGGTTCTCGGGGAAGTCATCGGGGGTCTCGGGGAGTTGAAGGGGCGCGGCTTGCTTTCAGGGGGCGCTCGGTGGTTTCGGCGAGCTCGGAGCGCCCGGGGGTGGCCCGGGGGTGGGCCGGGGGTGGGCCCGGGGGTAGCCCGGGGATGGGCCTTGCCAATAATTCCCGTGAAGCCTCCCCAATAATTCTTATGCGTGCCCGCTCGCATATTAATTTCCGGGGGGGCTACACGGGATTTTTTGACCGGGGGCCCGGGGGTCCCACCCCCAAGTGACCCCCAAGCGCCCTCCAGAAATTCCAGAGGGCCGAATGGTCCCGACAGGGCTGCGGCGATCCCCTCTCTCCTCTGGCTTCCCCCCCCCCGCCCCCGCCCTCCCCGAGCAAGCTCGCGAGGGCGAGGTTGCGGCGGCCCGGCGGCCGACGTCGCCTTGGCGCTGCTTCTTCCCCGCCGCCCGTCTCCGATCTCCGACCCCGCCTTCCCCGCCCGCGCCTTCTCCTCCTCCTTCCCCGCCCCCCCCGCCGCAGACCGACGCGAGGGGCTTGTTGGGCGACCCCTTGGCCATCGCGATGCGCTTCTTGTGGGATGCGTGCAGCCCGCCCATGTTCATCAAGATGCGCCAGGGCTTGCTTGATATTCATCATGCCCTGGACAAGTGCGGCTGGACTGCCCTCCCCCTGGGCACCGCGTGCAGCGGCTCGGACGTCGTCGTCCCCACTCTGCAGTTGATCGCCAAATTCTGGACCCAGCAGTACGACATTCCGATCGCGTTCGATCACAGGTTTTCGTGCGAGTCGGTGCCAGAAAAGAGAGAGTGGATCCGGGCCCATTTCGACGTGCCGCACATTTTCCCAGATAGCCAGCGGGCTGATCGCCATCTTCCGTTGAGCAGGAGGCGGAGCAGGTCAGGAGTAAGAGTGGGCTGGAAGGGCTGGCGGAGAGAGGGCGGGGGGGGGGCGGGAAGGACAGGGGCGGGAGGCGGGAGGAGGAGGAGGAGGAGGAGGAGGATATGGAGGAGGAGGAGGAGGTGGAGGAGGAGATGGAGGAGGAGGAGGAGGAGAAGGAGGAGGAGGAGGAGGGGCAGCCGACTTCGGTTGCGCCAGGTCCCGCGCCCACCCGCCCCCTTCCTGATTCGTCGCCGCCTGGGCGGCTGCTCGGCGGCCTGGCGGTTCAAGAGGTTGGGCGAACATGAGACAGAGAACTCCGAGGGCAAGTTGACCAGGATCGAGAAGGTTCTGATGCAGTACACAGGGATCGAGTGTGATACCATATCGAACTGCAACAAGGACCGCGCCGGCAATCTCGAGTGTATTGCCGATGATGAGGATGATTCAACGAAGACAGGTTTTCTGGTTTGAATCGTCGCTGTCTCAGCAATTTCGCACGTGCCTCCCTCCGCTGACCCCCCTTCTGCTCGCCCCTCGCGATTGATCCTCTTCCGCCTCGCCCCCCCCCTCCTCTCCTCGCCTCCGGCCCCCCCTTTCCCCGCCCCCCCTTCGTCGTCCGCATCTCACCCCCTCCCCCTCCGGGCCCCCTCATCCTCCTCCTCCTCCTCCTCCTCCTCCTCCTCCTCCTCCTCCTCCTCCTCCTCCCCCCCCCTCCACCTCCTCCTCCTCCCCCCCTCCTCATCCTCCCCCCTCTGCCTCCACCGCCCCCTCTTCCTCCCCGCGTGACCCCATCCCCCCTCCCTCTGCACAGCGCCCTCATCCCCCCCCTCCCCCGCCCCCGCCCCCCCACCCCCGACCACCCCCCCGCCTCCTCGCCCGCCGCCCCCCCCGCCAGGTGCCACTGGCAAGGCGTTCATTCGCTATGTCAAGCGACACTCCCCAGCTGTTTGGGTTATCGAATGCGTGACTAAGCTGTTCTCCACTGGCCCATCGGGCATGAGCAACGCCGATCACATCACAGTCATGAGCAACGAGCTTGGCTACATCGTGGCGCGCCTCATTCTCTGCGCCACAGATTATGGTTGCCCCGCCAGGAGGGGGCGGGCCTATCCATTCGCTTCGCGCACGCCGCCGGCCCGCGCCGCATCGTCGCTGCTTCGAAAGATTCGAGCAGATGTGCATTGGGAGGGGGGAATTGGACGGAGCTTGAAGGATTGAAAAGGTCTAAGACGCCGTTGGCCCTCAGGGCCGTCGACTTTGGTGGGGGTCAAGGTATCGAATTCCCCGGTCGAGCCCAACCAGTTAGATCGTGACTTTCAGAAGCCACAGTGGCTTGACAATATGGAGACTTCCATCGAGCAGATGAAGGGGCTGCCTGGCGCGCCCCCCATCCCCCGGCCGCCGCGGCCGACGGCCGATTGCCCCCCCCCATTCCTCCTCTCCCACATCTCCCCTCCTCGTCTTCACTCTCTTTCTTTCTCCCTCCTCTTCAGTCCCTGAGGATCTCGCACAACATTTGATGATATTTGTCTCGCATGTTCTCTGCTAACGTCACGTACACACACACGCGCGCACGCACGCGCACACGCACGCGCACGCGCACACGCACACGCACACGCACACGCACACGCACACGCACACGCACACGCACACGCACACGTACACACACACACACGAGCACGAGCAAGCAGTTTTCGGCGCAGCTTTGGCCTCGCAGCAGGTCGGCGGATCATTGCGTTGCCGACGTCGCGTCGTCGCGTCGACGTCGTGGTCGTGGTCGTGGTCGCGGTCGTGGTCGTGGTCGTCGTCGTGGTCGTGGTGATCGTCGCGGTCGTGGTCGTGGTCGTGGTCGTCGTCGACGTCTCGTCGTTATCGTTGTCGTGGCGTCGCCGTCTCACAAGTGGGAGCAGCGGGCGCCATGGTGAAGTTTTTTCGCAGCAACCGCGCGCTCCAACGGGGGACCGGGGGGAGCAATGCCGACCTTTGCCATGCGCCTCATGGGCCCAGGATCTCCATCCCCTTCCCAGGCGAGGGCGCCTGCGCAGATCCTCGGCCCAGGAGGGGCATGGCAAATATCGGTTTTGCTCATCCACATGAGGCTCTCGGGAGCACGCGCGCCAGGAGATAATGTGTTGTTTCCCCCCTCCTCCTTCTCCTCCCCCTCCTCCTCCTCCTCCCCCTCCTCCCCCCCCTCCTCCTCATCCCCCCCCTCGATCCTCGCTCCTCCTCCTCCTCCTCCGAGGCAGCACACGATGCAAACGAAGCGAAGATGTGGGCGCGGCAGCAGCAGTGGGACGAGGAGAAAGCGACCTGGGACAAGGGCGACTTCAGGAGGCGGCCCGAATCGTTTCCTGAAGTCGTTCCTGTCCCAGGTCGATTCTCCCAGGTGGATGGTGGATCCACGGACATGGTGGAATGAGGAGTATTATACGAAGCGCCAACTTTATCATGCTCCAGGGTGTTGGCGTGATTAGCCCGTGTTAGAATGCCCTTGATCAGGGTGTTAGAATGCCAGTGTCAGGGTGTTGGCGTGATTATACGAAGCGCCAACTTTATCATACGGCGCGAGGCGAGTCATTCAATTGGCCATGCGCCAGTAGTCATAGTCTTTCCTGACGACCTACAACTAGGTTAATTTGCCTCCTCGGCACCCAATGCTTGGTAGGACGCCAGGCTGCCTGGACATTCCCCTGCCGGCCTCCTATTTTCCAATATCCTAGCTCTTTACTCCCACCGTGTCCAGCAGTTTTAAGCATCCTCCTCTCCTCATGTGCACTCCTCCCCCTCCTGAGCTCATCCTCCTCGATTTCTCCTCATCTCATCGCATTTTCCCAGTCCGAGCCTGCAATGCCGCTGCCCGGTCCATATTTTTCTGGCCCCGGTCCCTTTTGCCCTGAACTGGAGCAAAACATTGCATGTGAAAATCAGGCGTTTCACATGCATATGAAAATGCATGTGAAACGCGTCGGACCTGTAAAAACACAGGGTGCGATGCATATGAAACAGGTTCATCTTCAATTTCGCATGCATGTGAAAATGCATATGAAAGTTTCATCTTCAATTTCACATGCATGTGAACATGCATGTGAAACTACGGCTGGCGGGGGCTGACCGAGGCCAGATATTACAGATTTTCGTGCGTGCACTTGCTGCAGACTACCCCAATCGCCTGTCGCAAGAGCTTACATGCTGCTCGAGCCGTCTGTCTTTGCGCGCAGGGGGTGTGCGGGTGTGCACCGAAACGATCGATGGGGTTCGTGTGCACCGCGAGGTGCCTGGGGCTCAATTGTGCCAGTCGGGGCTCCCGTTGGGGCCCTTGTTCCACCATGGCATTCCTACGATCGCATTAACCGTTAACCACTCGCCATATTTATCACCACCCATAGTACCACGTTATATGTCGCTGGTGGTATACATAGTTACATAGGTATGGCTAGTAACACGACTCATTAACCCGTCGTCCGACAATCACGCATCATCACCAGCATCCTCATCAGCATCACCCTCATCATCATTGCTATCGTCGTAACCACCATCGTCATTATCATCATCAGCATCGTCGTCGTCGTCATCACCATCATCCTCATCATCAACATCAACATCAACATCATCATCATCATCATCATCAACACCATCACCAGCATCATCATCAGCATCACCGTCCCGAGCACCATTGCTCCCCATGCTCAGCAAGTGAAGAGGGGGCTGGTCCTGGACCGCCGCCCCCCCCGCAGTCGCCACGGCATCAGCGACCCCTTCCAGAGCAATATTGCTCAGACCTTTGTTTTGCCTCTACAGCGGGGCTGCTGGCGCTTCTAGCTTTGTTCAGACAGCGCGAGGATGGCCCTAGAGTACCCTGTGCCCGAGCATGCTCCAGAGACGGTGGTTGTGGGATGGGGGGCGACTGCGCGCCGGTGCAATGCGCCTTGGTTTTCCTGGGAGGCTGAGCACGCCATGTACACATGCATTGCTTGTTCGAGCAACTACACGAACAAGAAGGTTTGGGTGAGTAACAGCAATCACCTCGGCCCTAAGCACCATAATCAGGTAATTCACTGGTGCACCGAGCAGTACAAGAGGCAAGTCTACCAGAAAGGATGGTTCAAGACCACGACGATCGAAGAGAATCCCGAATATCGCTGGGTGTGGAGCCCTCAGTACCAGAAGAAGATGACAGAGGCAGCGCAAGCGTTGCTCGAGCAGCGTGGAGGTGGCAAGTTTGGTGCGACAGCAGCTGCGGCAGCGGCAGACCTGCGCGATGGCGGGATTGACCCGTATACGGTGATGGCTGCCGCATCTGCATCGCCAGCAGCGGCTTCCCGTGGAGAACAAGGTGTCGATCTGCAGAAGCTCAATGAGAAGATCGACGCGCTGGGCGAGAAGATGGACGCGCTGCAGAATGCCGCCGACAAGATGCAGACGGACCGCGAGGTGCTCTCTGCGAAAATCGACCGCCTCGTCGAGACGATCGGCAGCCTGCAGCAGAATATCGACGCGAAGCTCTCCGTCGGCGTGGTCGGTGCCCCTGGGAGAGCACTTGGTCGCACAACGATTGCCAGAGATGCTCCTGGCGGCGTAGGCGTAGCTCCAGGTCTGAGCCTGCCAGGGCAGTAGCCGTGGGCCTAACAGGCCAAGCCTAAACCTCATCGCATCCAACCTCATCTCATCCTCAACCCCATCAGTGACCTCAACCTCATCAACCTCATCCAACCTCATCAACCTCATCCCAACCTCAACCCCATCTCATCTCATCCAACCTCATCAACCTCAACTCATCTCATACCAAGCCGAATTTATCCACGTGGCATACAATTTTCGTGCCAGTATGGTGGGCGATGACAGGGAGATATGGTGCAGAAACAATTCGAGTCGAGTTTGAAGGTCCTTGCCGCACTGTGCGCGCCTGAAGCAGACTTGCAATCAAGGCTGCTCATTTCCCTCCCCCCGCTCCTCGTCCTTCTCATCCTCCTCCCCCTCCTCCTCATGCTCATCACATTTCCTGTCAGTTGATTCTGCACTCGCCCTTTGCATTTTGCACGTTCAAACAGAGTCGGCGTGTCGAAGACACCCGTGTACCGATGCGATAAGCGCTGGCTGCTTGCATCGCGAGCAAACGAACACGATGTACGGGGTTGACCTGACCTCAAACAAATGAGGGCCCAAGAGTCCCCAAGAGGCCCCAAGAGGCCCCGATAGGGCCCGGGGGCCCCAAGAAGTCTCCAAGAGGCAGAGGCCCAATCGGCTTGAGATAGGACAACTCGGGGTGGTCTGGATCCGCCCTTTACATCGCCGCTCAATTCCAACGTGAACGTCGCGTAGCCATTTTTGCTCAGATTGTCGGCGCACCGCATTCTACTCGCAACCAACACGCTACTTCCAGCGGAGCCTCATGCCGAATGGAGCGCAGCTTTCGCGGCGCAACCGATCCTAACCACGACGAGGATGAGGGCAGCAGCACCCAGGTCAAGCGCGAGCAGATACCAGATGAGGACGTGGACGTGACGGGCAGCAGTGACTCGGAGGACGGCGCAATCCAGGACGAGATCCAGCTTCTGCAGCCGCAGGACGACTCCCAGGCGCCCGATCGCTCGCCCGATCCCGAGGAGGCGGTGGTCTACACAGAGAAGAGAACGCACACGAATGTGCAATATAGCGTGACGAAGCTACAGCAGTACAGGGCCGAACAATTGCCAGAGTTTGCGAAGACGGTCTTTGCCAAGATGCGCCTGAAGCCGATGAATGATGGCACGACCAAGCGGATCAAGTACACCATCGGGTACAACGTGGAGGTAGAATCGACCAGGCAGCGGCTGGTGCCTGTGAGCCGCTTGTCACCACGGCCCGTGCCCTAGTGCCTAGTGGCCCTCGGCCTGTGCGGTGGGCTGCGGGACCGTGACGGCGGGAATCCCGCGCCCCCCCCCTTTTTCCTTGCCCGCCAGCCCTCATTCGAATCGGATGTTGTGCCTCGACCTCGGCCTGTTCCCTGTTCCCTTTCTCCTCCGCAATCCATCCAACTCACATGCCTCCTCCTCCATCCTCCTCCTCCTCCAAATCCCTCTCTCCCCCCTCGTGCTTCTTCCACAGGGATCGAGAGGATCGACCCCGCCCACCATGAGGCAGGCATGTAAATTGCACCTACAGGTGCCTGGGTCGTGGGTCTGGGGCCTCTCGTATGTGCGTTGTGGGGTAGGGGGAGGAGGAGGAGGAGGAGGAGGAGGAGGAGGAGGAGGACAAGGAGGAGGAGCGTAGCGAGCTGCTCAGGAGAGAGGGAGGTGGCAGGCGAATGATAGACGATGTGGGGGGGAGGCAGATGAGGAGGGGGAGGAGGATGAAGGATGGATGAGGAGGGGGAGGATGGAGGAGGAGGAGGATGGAGGAGGGGAATGGAGGAGGAGGATGGAGAGGGATGCGTGCGCACATGCATTTTCACATGCATGTGAGTTCGGCCGTTCGATGAGGAGGGGGAGGCGGATGAGGAGGAGGAGGAGGAGGAGGCGGAGGGGGAGGCGGGGGGGGAGGACGATGAGGAGGAGATGGGAGGAGGAGGGGATAAGGGGGGGGGGGATGGGGGAGGACGGGAGAGGAGGAGGAGGGAGGATGAGGAGGAGGAGAGGAGGGGAGGAGGAGGAGGATTCGAGGGGAGGACGAGAGGAGGATGATGCGGAGGGTGAGGAGGATGGAGGAGGGGGATGCTGAGGAGGAGGAGGAGGAGGAGGATGGAGGAGGAGGAGGATGGAGGGGGGGATGGAGGAGGACGATGGAGAGGGATGCGTGTTCACATGCATTTTCACATGCATATGAAAATGCATGTGAGTTCGGTCGTTCGATGAGGAGGGGGAGGCGGATGAGGAGAAGGGGGAGGAGGCGGAGAGGGCGGAGGGGGAGGCGGGGGGGAGGACGATGAGGAGGAGATGAGGGGAGATGAGGAGGGGGGAGGGGGGGGAAGTGAGAGGAGGAGGAGGAGGAGGAGGAGGAGGAGGAGGAAGAGGAGGAGGAATATGAGGGGGAGGAGGAATATATGACGACACGACGACCAAGAAATGAGTAGAGGGGTGCACGACCGTGCCCGATCTCACGAGGAAGGGGGGGGAACGGAGGAGGAGGAGGAGAAAGAGGAGGAGGAGGAGGCTGAGCGGGAGGATGAGGAGGAGGGGCTAGGATCCAGGGGGGGTGGGGAGAAAGACGGGCGGGGTGAGGATGAAAGGACGGCGAGGGTGGATGACTAGTAGGCACGTGCCACGTGGATGAGGGGAAAGATTGAAGCAAACGGGGAACAGATATAAAAATGATGGGGGAGGGGAGGAATAATGAAGAGGAGGAGGAAGGGGGACGGGAGGAGGAAGGAGAAGGAAGAATACGAGGAGGAACGAGTGGGGTAAGCCAAAATAAACGTAACAAGTTTAACGCTAACACGGTATGCATACCAACGCGCTATTTTCATGAGAACCTTGTACGATCGATCACACACTCACCATTTTGACTGTATCGAAAGCACATGCGAAAACACACTGTATTTGCATGTGTGCCCAACTGAAATCTCGAAAACCCATGATAATGAACATGAAGATGATAATGATCTATGCAAAAGGGACCAGCTTCTAGACCAACCACACAGAAGGGAACGGGGCCGATCGACTAAATGGGGGTCTCCCGTTTTCCTCTCTCTCTCTCTATCTCGTTTGTCGTCCTCTTCCTGTCTCCATCTCCCTCCCGCTCTCTCCCTCTCCTCTCCTCTCCCCTCTCGTTCCTTCTTTCTTTCTTTATTTATTTCTCTGTCTCTCTCTATATATATATCTTTGTGTTCTCTTTCTTTCTCTCTCTCTCTCTCTCTCTCTCTCTCTCTCGCTTTGCTCCTCTTTTTCTCTCGCTTTCCTCTCTCTGTTCCCTCTCTTTATTATTGATCTCTCTCTATCTTTCTTTCTTTCTTTCTCTCTCTCTCTCTCTCTCTCTCTCTCTCTACATCTCTCTCTCTCTCTCCCTCTCTCTCCCTCTCTCTCTCTCTCTCTCTTCCTCCCTCTCGGTCCCTCTCTCCCTCTCTCTTGTTCTCTTGCTTTTTCTCTTTCTCTTTCTCTCTCTCTTTCTCTCTCAGCGCCCCGCTCGTCTCCGCCGCCCCCCCTTGCCCGCCAGGTATCCCGCTCTCGCGCTTCATCTTGCCTGACGATCACCCCCGGGTCATTGCCGCCAACGCGGGCCGCAAGCCGATCAAGGCGAAGGCCCCCAAGACCGCCAAGGCCAAGGCTGCTGCCGAGGCCGGGGCACTCAAACATCCCAAGTACGAAGTGGACCACATGGAATGTTATGCCAATTGCAATCCCGCTCTGACGTGGCCCGCAGAATTGACGCCCGAATTCCTTGAGAAGACGCCCTTCCTCACAACGCGCCAGCGCGAGTGTTTGTGGTTCTGGGAGCACGTGAAGGGCCCTCCCGAGTCGGCCGCAACAATCCAGGCAGTTGATGTCAATATGACTTTGAAATGGGGCAACATGACGGACGGGGAGTTGCCGACGCTTGCGTCCACGGCCAACGTCTGGATCCGAGGCAAGTTCGAGGAGCAGGAGAACAGCCAGGTTGTTAGTTTCGCGGCCGGCGGCGCCGGCGGCTGGGCGGGCGGGCGGCGGGGCGGGAGAGAGGCTCTCGATTGACTCGATTGCGATGCGATCGATTGCGTTTTGGGCTGGCGGGAATGCGCAGCCCGCAACCCATCAGGCGGGGGGGGGGGGCAGCGGACCTTCGGGCTTCGGAGGCTGGAGGCCGAGGGCTGTCTGAGTTCGGAGTGGCGGTGGAGCTCGGGGCGCGGCCGGGGGCCCCGGGCCGGGCCAAGGGGGCGGGGATCGGGGCGAGGGGGGGGGGGGCAGTGGCAGCGGTAGCCCGGCCCCGCCGCTCGCGATCAGGTTGCCGGCAAGGTAATCGACCGGATGCTATCCATCAGGCCATCGCCTTCTGTTGCGACAGGGGGCAGGGAGGGGGGGCGGAGGCGGGGGGGAATCCAGGAAGAGGGTGGGTGAGGAGCGGGAGGCGAGGGGGCCCATGGAGCAAGGAGTCAGGTAGTCCGAGGGGGTCAGGAGGTCAAAGTGGAATGGGGGCTGCTAAGGGTGATGAGGGTCGGCTCCGACTTTGCGCCTCGCTCGCCCACGGTTGCTCGCGCTGCGACGCCACGGAGTGGGCTCGCGCGACAGAGGAGGAGGAGGAGGAGGAGGAGGAGGAGGAGGAGGAAGAGGCCTCGCACGTTCTCCGTTCTCATGCTTGCGGCGGGTGGCGGCCGTGGCCGTCGGCGGCCCGCGGCAGGTCAGGATTCTCGTGCATTCTGGTGTTTGTGCAGCACATATACTGCATGCGCGATGCGCAATCTTATGCGTGGTGCGTGCCATGCTATACACCATGCGCATCAACTATGCGCTATGCACTATACACTGTATGCGTGTCAGGGCGCTATACACTATACATGTATTGTGCGGTCGGCCGGCGGGCCGCGCGGCAGGGTTGGGCCGCCCATTTATTGGGGTGCTTCCATGGGG